CACTAAGAAAGTCCTATGTGAAAAATGAGGATGTTATTTTGAAGTGAGGAAACTAGTTGCAATATCGGAAAAATTAGCACCTAGGTGAGAGATCGAAGAGGATAGGTATCAGTTTGTAGTGAGGCTGTGTCATGGTCTGATCCACATAATTCAAGTCTAATAATGATAGCATGCATGAACATAATTATAATAATCACGATTGGTAGTAAAATGATTGTGAAAGCTAAAAGACATATACTCTTGTACAAAGATTTTGTAGTGAGTCATAGTGCGTCGCTTGAGGACAAACAACGAATTTAAGTTGTGGGTGTTGATGTACCGTGGTTTCACGGTAATTTCAATTTCTTTTCCTTAAGTTTACTGTGTGTCTAAAGCCTTTTTGTATTGATTTTTGATATAGTTTTCTATTTATTTTTAAAAAATCTGTCCAAAGGAGAACGCGGAGATTTTGAGCAGAAATTGCAAAAATTACCACCTACGGACTCCACTATGGTCTGTCGTGACTGTGACAATCCGTAGGGGCCAACCGTCGTGAAAATATAATGGATGTTGAAGTAAGTTGGGGAGTTATGACCAAGCGTGGGACTACATAAGCTCACGAAGGACCATCATAGCCACGACGGTCCGTCCTACACATTCGTCAAGGCTAACACAGAGTAGTCCTAGTACCCAACTTCAAAAGATTCTAAATGTCATGGAACAGAGCCCCTCGACGTACCGTCACACCTGTCCGTCGAGGGTAATAGAGATTTGATGAAGAAAGCAGCAGAGATTTGTGATAAGTATGGAACGACGGAAGCCATGACGGTCCATCACGAAGGTCGTCGACTCGGATGCGTTTTTGGCAAATTTTTCTTTAAATAGATTTCCCTCTTTTATTAGGTTTTGTTTTATTATAAATAGTTCAAAAAAACACATTTTTGGGTTAGACCTTTGGATATTTTTCAATTTTATTATTTAATTATTGAACTCTTGATTTTGGGGATTTGACATTACTTTTTCAGAATCACTTATTGGTGTTTTGGTGATTTATTCAAATAAATTTCTGGATTTTGTCATTCTCATCAAAGTAAGTGCATGAATTCTTATGTTATCAATATGAATTGTGTGATTATTAGCATGGATAACTAAACTCCATAACTAGGGTTGTGGGAACCATGGGTAAATAACAAGGTAAAACCTAGAAAAAATAACAATTCTAGAATAGTGTCTTGGTATATTGATAATTCTTTCGCTTAGAAATCTTTTTAACAGGGGCTAACATTAGAACTCACCTTATTGATACTTTCCGGACCAAGTAGGTAGAAAATAGGAAAAGAATTATCAACATAGATTTAGTGTATACTATATAATAGGCTAGTGTCGGTTGGTACAATGTAACAACTTAATCAAATATCGAATATGATGCTTAATATGAGGTAAAGATAAGGCTTAGTAAACCAACACATGTAGTCGTACCAAGGTGCGGAGTGAAATTCTCTAGATGTCGGATCAAGGATTTAGAGATACCTAACTTATATAGTGGAACACTTACGCCCTAGTTACTCTCATAACTTGATTAAAACCCCAATACTTGAACCTGTCACTTGTTTACTCTAATTTAGCTTATTGCTTTCATTAATCAAAACCCCATTTTTGTTATTTGTTATTGGAAAATAATTGACTAAATAGAAATAATAATAATAAAAATAGAATAAAGTTATGTCTGAACAATTTTTCTCGTGGGAACGATCCCAACCTTACTAGTTGGGTTCTTTACTTGATATGACCGTTTTTACATTGTTTCAAGAAGTAAATTTAAGTGTATCAGCGGAAACTAGATCTTCTGATATGACGCTGCAGCTATCCGGAAGTGGAGCATTCATCCGGACTTGATAGGACCTCATGCTTTCGAGGAAGCTTGCCCATTATATTCTAGCTTAGATATAGGTTTGAGTTAGTGGAGTATGTTCCACTAGCGTTTCTTTCTCATTTTTTTAAGACATTGTATTGGTGCCATTTTGGCAAGCATACACTTAATGCAATACGCAACTATTTCTTTCATTTGATGATCTTAATATTAGATGGTTGATTGTGAACGTTTATGAGTTTAAGTAGAACGTCTTTTATGAATGTTAAGTAACATAAAGTTCAAATTTTCCGCTAAAATTAACCTAGATGAAGTGGTGATGATGTATGTAGGCTTGTTTGCAACCTCTAAGAGGTCAACGACGCAGGTCTTGTCTGGGGTTTAAACTCCGTTCGTGACAAAGTTGGTATTAGAGCATTATGTTAAATTCCGAGGGTAATAAGTTCACATCAACCACATATAGTAGTTTCTAATTCATGGTAGTGAAGTGCACCACTATCTTAAATTAAAGACTACATGATGCATAGGAAGAAATTCTCTTCTTCTGATCTTATTGTGAATTCTCTAATTTTTTATTTCTTGGTGTTAACAGTGTATCTAACATCAACTCTTGAGATTCAGAAAGATGAGTATGAGGAGAAACGCAGTGGAGATATTAGAAGAGTAGTTGCTCGAGTAAATCAAGTTCCTCTCCAGGCTCTAGCTGCTGGAATAGAGATGCCTAATAAACCAACTGGGTTGACAGATGGAAAATTGAGGACAGCCTTTGTACAGATGGCCCAAACCATCACTTTACAAGCTTAGGCTATGACAGCCCAGGTGGAGCAACAAGGTGTTCCAAGGGAGAACCCACCTGCCAGCACCATGGCTAACAGGTAAAGGGACATCACGAAGATGAATTCTCCCGTTTTCACTGGATCTAAGATTGATGAGGATCTTGAGGAGGAGTGTGGGGCAGCTATGCTACATGACAGCGTGGACCTTTCTAGGCTTATGGTACATGTCCAACAGGTGGAAAAAAGCAGGAAGAGGAAGCACATTAGGGCAGGGAACAAGTCAAGGCAAGCTGAGGAAAATTTATAAGGAAGAGTATAAATGAAATCAGAGATAAGCCTAGGTTTATAAAGGGGCTCTCCCACCAAGGGGAGTCAAGTTCATTCATGGGTCTCTATGATATGGATTCCGAGCCCAAATTTAAGAGAAATAGTGAAGTAGATACACCTCAGGATGCCCACCAACCTCCTAATATGTAAATCAAATATTCGCCAAATAAAAGCATTGAATAGCTTAGGTATGGATTTTCTCCACAAGTGTAATGCTACAATATACTATCAAACCAGGGTAGTGAGGTTTCAGTTTCCAAATGAGATAGGGCATAAATGGGCAGGGCGTGGACCAATCGAACAAAGCCATATAACTTCAAATCTTAAGGCCAACAATATGTTATCTAAGGGGTTAGATATACTCCTCCTAAGGCTGGTTTTGTTTAAGAAACTCTATGTTTTAGTGCAATAGTCAACTTGGTATTGTAAGTCCAAAATTGTATGTTTAATAATTGCACTATGTGAGTTAAAATGAATTCATGTTTGCATGTCATGTTGTTGTTTTTGTATAGAGTGGACATGATTCTTTTTTTTATTTTTTGTGTTGCATGAAATATGAGGTGCATCAATTTAGTTTGATTGAAAAGAAAGTTCCTCAATCTCAAATATGAAGCTTCAGATAAGCTTGAGTAATATGCACTATCTAGAGTAAGTGTGAAACAGAAATTCACGAAAAGTAAAGTCTCAAGTATGTTAACATATTTTTGAAAATCACCCTCTTTATTTTAAAATAATTTTTAGTGTCATTCAGGGATGAATGTTCCTAAGGGGGGGGGGATAATGTAACAACCCTAAAAATGGATATGTTAAGTAATGCTTAATATCTCTAAAATTCCTATGATTAGACCGGGTTAACAGGGATTGATGCGCGTAGAACCAAACCTCTAAACCCTTTCGACACACAATTCAACTAACTTAGGGAGTAATTTGAGCTAGGAAAGGTTGGGTCCAGCTATGTAGGGCACCCGAATATGAACATCTATTCGGATGAGTCTTTGCCGGACTTAAGAAGGGGAAATCTTAAGTTTGGAGGGTCTAGGGGTAAAATGGTCTTTTTCCAGTATGGAACTATTTCTTTCATTTGATGATCTTAATATTAGATGGTTGATTGTGAACATTTATGAGTTTAAGTAGAATGTTTTATATGAATGTTAAGTAACAAAAAGTTCCAATTTTCCACTAAAATTAACCTAGATGAAGTAACAATGATGTATGTAGGCTTGCCTTTAACCTCTAAGAGGTCAACGTCGCAAGTCTCATCTGGAGTCTAGACTCTGTTCGTGACAAGAGGATATTTGTTCTTGATAGTGACTTTATTAAGTTGGCGATAATTAATTCACATTCTAAGGGAACCATGGAGAAATTCTAGGTATAATGAAGCCTTTGTCTAGTAATTCTTTGAGTTGAGCCTTCAACTCTTTCAATTCGGTTGGAGCCATCCGATAAGGATGAATTGAAATGGGATATGTATCCAGTAACAAGTCGATACCAAAATCAATTTTCCGTTCTATAGGAATACCGGGAAGATCATTAGGAAAGACCTTCGAAAATTCCCTCACTGTGTGGATCGACTCAATGGGAGGAATTTCGGAGTTTGAATCTTGGAATCTTACTATATGGTATAAACACCCTTAAGATATCATCCTACAAGCTTTCAATCAAGAAAAGATATGACTTCTAGGAATAGAATTTCCCCCCTTCCACTCTAAAACAAGCTCATTGGGAAACTTACTTCACCACCCTTGTTCTACAATCTATAGAGGCAAAGCAAGCATGCAACCAGTCCATACCCAATATGACATCAAAATCAAACATATCAAGTTCTAATAATTTAACATGAATAAATCTATTGCACATCATTATAGGACAATTTCTATACACCCTTTTTGAAACTACTGACTCACCTACCCTGGTAGTTACTATGAAAGTTTCTTTTAGAATTTCAGGTAAAATCTCAAACTTCTTAACTATCAAGGGAGTAACAAAAGATAATGTAGCACCCGGATCAAGTAAAGCATATACATCAATAGATAAAACTTTAAACATACCGTTCACCGCATCGGGAGAAGTCTCTTGCTCACCCCTTGAGCAAAGTGCATAAAAGCGATTCTTCTTTGGATCACCATTAGAACCACTTGCTTTAACTTGAGCACTACCCTTGTGTTGACCCTTCACATTAGTTCAATCCCTAACCTTGTGACCCGCTCTTGCCACAACCAAAACAATTCCCATTCCAACTAAGCATTCCCCTAAGTGACCCTTTCCACACTTTGCACAAGTAGGCTTATTGGTTGGTGAACTAGCATCCCTTCCCTTTTTAGGATTAGGTATAGACACCCTATCATCACGAGCCTTAAAGAACTTGGAAGGAAATTGATTATAGAACCTCTTCTAAAACCTAGGCTTGTCTTGGATATCAAGCCTATCCTTTGAAGAACCACCATCAAAAGATCTTGCCATCTTCTCATCTCTAATCTTTCTCTTAGACATTGCCTCTTCCACTTGTTGAGCATGAACCATGAGACAAGAAATTTTCATATTGTCATGTAGCATAGACTAATGACACTCTTCTTGAAAGTCATCCGACACTCCCGTCACAAAGCAACTCATTTCATCCCTAGGATCGTAAACCAAAGAATGAGTATATTTTGACAATTGTGTTTATTTCAAAGAGTATTCAAGTACACTCATACCTCCTTGGTAAATGTTGATGAAATCCACCACCTTGGCTTCCCTATTCTCCCTAAAAAAAGAATCTATCAATAAAAGCCTTCTTTAACACCTCCCAAGTCACTGGTCCACCCCTTAACGGCCTATTGTCCCTCCATTGAACATACCAAGTGTGGGCCACACCTTTGAGCTATCAAGTGGCCAACTCTGCTTTCTCACTTGTAGTCAACCTCATAGCATAGAGGATCTTGTAGATTTCTCAATGAACTCATGGGAGTCTTCTTCAACCTTGGACCCATAGAAAGTAGGGGGATTCATTATAGTGAAATCCTTTAGACTGGAAGACATGGTAGCAACTTATTGGTTTGCTCGGGGTACAACCTCCCGATTATCTTTGGCCTTCTGGATTGAGCTTGGATAGTAGAGGCTTGTGCTTGAGTAATGATGGCTTGGACCATTTTGAAAAGAGCAGCCCGGATGGCACCATCCGTTGAAGGAGTATGGACCGGAGCTTGGTCATCATTAACATCTTCTTTAAGAGGAGGAACTTGATCGCCATTGGGAGGAACTCCCGCATTGGCATTCTCTTCTTTAAGTCTTCTTGTCACGTTCCTTTGTGTATTCATTGCCTATAATCACAATAATAGGATTAGATCCTAAAAGCACATAGAGCTAACACTCTAAAGGCGCGATACTAGACTTCCAACAAAGTGAGAGTTTCCTAAGAATCACATAGATTCCTATTCATAAGTGTGACGTGCTTCACATTTATAAATACGAACCAATATCGACGTGGTTGAGAGAGACATCGACTCAAAGATATTTAAACTCATTCTCTAATACCAAGTTTGTCATATCGAGGAAGCACCCCCTAGACGTAACCGGCGTCGTCATCCTCTTTGAGGACTAATAGTCTCTTAGCATACATCATTACATTCATATGTCAAAATAAGCAAAAATTTAAAACATTTTACTACTTCTACATTGAGATTTACATAGACCTCTACATACACATAATATAGTTACATCGAGTATACATAGACCTTTCGTATATGAAGATTACTTAGTCTTTTACTTTTATTGCACATAGATATATAGAATATAACATAGTCTTAAATAGTCATCTCCTCTCATAACCATCTAATAAGAGTATAACAATTTAGGCCTAGCCCATACATCAATACAATAAGACCACATATACGTCATATAATGTTTAATATTTAAATGAAAACGAAAGAACATAAGATTCTTAAAAACTAAAGCAACATCATAAGCTTGATAGTGGCATTGCCCTTAGAAAGCGTTGACCTACCCAACTTGGATGATTGAGAATTCCAAGTTTCTTCAAAGTCGTCTCCAAAAGCCCTTCAACGAACAAAACCTAAATCGTTGGGGAAAAGGAAGAAATGGGTTAGTACACAACTTGTATCAAGTATGAGACCATATGTACATATATCATGAAATCATGCTAAAAACGACATTTCATTAAGTATGCAATTTACTTTGAAAACCTTTATGCACATTCAATCAACATCATACCAATCAATAAGACATAATCGTTAAGGCATTGGCATATACATCACAAGACCAACAACACCAAGTACAGTCAAGTCAACATGCAAATCAAACAATTGAACACATAATCAAAGTAACCCTATCATGAACTTATAGTAGCAACAAGCATGAATAAGAGCGCATTTCAACATAACCAAAGCAAGACCATTACTCATGAACCTCTTTAACTCCACTTGTGCAATAACTAAGCAAAGCCCCATAACTTTACTTAATCAAGTAAACCTAGACAGAACAATAAACAATGTCCAACTTCACATAACATAACATTAAGATTACATAATATCGTATTTTAGCAATATAAACCAAATACATGTTTATAAGAGTAATCGACATCACCTAGTGCCATTAACATATAAGATCATCATGTACATATCATTTACAATAATAAGCATATACATACAAAAGAACAACCTCCTAAGGCTTCCTTCAAGGAAAACTAATGCATGGCATAGATAGAGTCCCATACCCCTACCTAGGCTAAGTCAAACCTCTTAGTCACCTTAGTTGGTTTATACTTCATTACTTCATCTTAATTTAGGGAACACTTGCCTTAACCGACATAGACCACAAGAGCTAAGTTTGGAATTCAACGTTGTAAACATGATGGAAGGTGGTCTACGGGCCAAAGTAAAACTAAACATAAACGTAGCTTTCTAGGTGGATCCACTAGCTAGTCTTCCTATGGGGACAACATAGTTCAAGAACTAAGAGATAGGTAGAACCTCTCTACATGTCACTTGGCAATTGGACCCTCTACTATGGGAATCCATAAAATGAGTATCCCTCATAGGGGATTCAACACCTCATGTGGAACTATAGATCTTCCTATATGGTAAGTCAACACCTCCCATTGTCAAGTTCACTCAGTGTTAAGCTAATTCCATTTTTGAAATGTCTTTAATACCTTTATTAATCATCATAACTTAGTGAAAGTCATAGGGTGGAACCCTTGTATAAACATCAACATCATAGCTCAATAAGAATTGCAAGAGTATTGTTTTTTCATTACAATCCATATAAGTGAGGTTAACACATTCACATATAACTTCATAATAAAGAACATTGGTAAATCATCATTATCCTTATAAAATTTAAATATTAGAAAAAACCTCAAAATCCATAGTTAAGACATTTTAATTCAAGATCATACCAACCCTATAAATCCTAATACAAGGCATATTCCAATACAACATCATGACTTAATCACAATTAATCATAATTGAAGTAAAGAATAAGGATCACAAGACTTACCAAGTCTCCTTCATAATCCATCATCAAGGTCTTACCGTCAACTCTTAATTCAACCCAATAAGGGTGTAATATCATCACATATTGATAATCAACATGATAACAAGGCGAAATGAATCACTATATCACAATCCACTACTAGTTCATAGCTTAAGATAAAAGACTTAGCTCAAGATCATAATCTAAATCAATTACTCAAGAACTAGCATATTAGGACTCAAATTCATCTTAATCTATTCATAAAATATACAATAACATCATCTAGTAGTAATTCAACCAATAACCAACTTAATTGAACTAACATTACATAATTCATAGCAAAATCATAACCTAGGGTTAAGGAAAATAGGTTATTTTTATAATATATTCATAATATACAAAATAAATCATAAACAAAGTAATTCACAACATTAATTTCGTATTGGATGAAAACTCACTTGAAACCTCATCTTTTGAAATCAATTTGATGGAACCCTTTGAGGAAAGAGGTCTCAAAGGTGAAAGGAATCTCGTACCTTAATAATTAATGAAGATTGATGGAGAAAATTGACCCTTTGCAGACCTTTAACCCACCTCTACCTTGGTCTTCAATGGGGTTTCTTTGGGAGAGAGAAAGAAGAGATAAAGAAGAGAGTTTTGGGTTTGGGAAATTATGAGAACTTAGGTTAGTCTAATTAGATTAGGGGCTTTATATAGGTTGTTAACTAACTTAATTTGACTTCCCCTAATCCCTAATTAACCTCCTAACTAACCAAATAATTAAATGAATTAAGTTAAAACGTGCAACAAAAACAGGCCCTTATAGACGAGACCCTGACCAATGGTCCTTCTGTGAGACAACCACAGAACCCTCCGTCCTGTTGGTCCATCATTTTGGTCAGAGACTATACAAAATGACCCTTCAAAGATTCTGTACAAGTGACCATCGACGGTGTCCATCGACGCCCCATCGATGGCACTTGTCTATGCACACTGCCTTGGGCAATCCTTTGACCCCAAAATGCGAGGGTCCTCCTCAAGGGCCCTTGGTTGGCCCTTGGGGAGTAGTGCCTGGATGTTTTGACTATGAATTAACGCCAATACATGTTAGACACCCTTACACTAATTTTCATCATTTTTCGACTCCTAAAAGCTAGTCAAATAGCCTAAGGCGCGCTAGCACCTTATTGAACAAATTTTCGGACTTCATGGACATTCTTGGACGTTTTGAGCTCAAAACTTCCTAAATGACTTATATTCATTAAAATAGACCTTAAAACAGTGTCTAAACCTTAGTGTCTAAACCTTATGACGCTCATGTTAGGCTCTAGAACACGTCTTATATTTTTGAAGTGTTACACCCCTTGTATATCATGTCCTTAGCTCATTAGGTATTCCATGAGAATGTTCTTTCATAACAACCCTTCATCTGTGAGATCAACGTATCATAATCATATCATATTAAGGCACACAAGTGGTTCACATTCAACCTTGTATCAACATACCCTTAACATGATCTCACACTTAATATAGTCAAGATATTTCATCATAATCCTTATAGCATCATCTTCTTAATCTAATCACGTATATTACTTCAATTACACAACATCATCCCCAAATATAATCCATCATTTTTGAAGTAAAAAGTTCAAAATCACAAACTCTTATCAAGTAGCCTCTATGGCCTTCATCAAGAATATCTCCCTCAATTCATTACAATTATCCAATAACCCACTTATCATCATCATAATATAGTGAATCAAATAATAACATAACCAATTCCAACAACCCTAATCATCTACACGTCCAATTCATCGCTAGGGTTAGGGTAAAGGATTCAATTCATAGATCTAATTGAAATACAATTCACGAAATTGGGAAGAAACCCATCTTTTTGACATCTTTTGAAATCAATTTTGAAGAGCCTCTTGGAAAAAGAAATCCCAAGAGTGAACAGCTTCCATACCTTATGATTCCTTAGAGTTTTATGGAGAAAAGGTGAAGTCTTGAATCCCTAGTTCACCTTGAAGCTTGGTCTTCAATGGGGTCTTGAATAGAGAGAGAAAGTAGAGAAAAGTTGGAGAGAATTTGGGTTTGGAAATTGTGGGGTGTTAGGCTACTTTAATGAGGTTTAGGTCTTATATATTCCCTCAACTAACTTGATTAACCGTCCCTTAACCCCTAACTAATCACCTATCTAATTAACTAATTAATTCACTTAACCAAAAGCTAGGCAGCAAAACTGACCCCCATCCTACAAGATATCACTAAAATCACACCATTTTCTCAAGATTTTTCTCATCTACAAGAACATTCGAGTCAGATGAAAGTTTGTTTGATGGAAATATCAAGTCTTCTGATTGTCTGGTTTTATTAGTAGATTGCCTGATGTTTAAATTATTCAGACAAGCTGAGTGTTTTTACTGGTTGCACTTTCCTCGTGAAAAACAAAGGGTTTCACACCCACAATCAAGAAAAAAAATATTTGTTGGATTTTTGTATCTTGTAAGCCAAGTGTTTAAAAGTTACAAATTATAGATTGTTCAAGAGTACAATAGGAAGATGACACAACTCAACAAGTTCATGGACTTATGTATTCTGCCATTAATTAAAATGTATCATTTCTTGCAAATTATTATTTTAGAACCAATGATTAGTAACTTTTCAGTTGAGTTGTGTTCCATTACCATTACCAAAAAAAAATGTTCCAACACAAGTGTTCCAAAAATTAGAAATCACACCATTAATATAGGTGCTGAAGTTGCAAAGTATAGTGACAATACCAATAAACTGAGCAGCATGCACTGTAGGTTAAGGCTACTGGAGTAGAAACTAATCAATAGCAACCACCGGATCAAAATAAAGCTCCTTAACCAGTAGGATCTAAAGTAACACTCTGTAGAGGAAGTACCTAATGAAAATACTGGATCATTAGGTAGCAGACTTGTCAACTACCATCGGAGAAGTAATATAAACTGAAACAACAAAATCTTGGCCACATTTAAAGAGCTGTTGATTCAGTATAGTGTTACATTATGAAGGAAATGACAACAGGTCATTCCAAATTATGAGCAAATTCAACTGCAAGCGAAAGAAAGTTGAAGAACAATGTTTTCTTTTGAACTACAATGGCAAGTATAAAACATTATGTTTCTCTAAATAGAAACAAATTAAGCATGCATCAGACGAAACATGAAAAACTGCATAAATCTCAGCAAAGTAAAAAAAGAACGCGAAGTCACTAAATTGTTTCTATATAAGTCTTGGAGGACAAAGTTATCAGAACACATGCAGTGAATCAACTGCATCAAAACTGACATAGACACTACCATAACAAAAGAAAGAGGAAACAAGGGGTTCTTCCTGCAAACTTACTAATAACTAGATACTGCCAGGGCAGTCGGCTAATTAAACCAGACAAGTGATGCGCACACGCACAAAGAGCAGCAGCCTGCCCCAAAATTGGGAAGAGATAGGTGTAGTTGCACCAAACTTCACTCTCATACAGGAAATAATCAAGACATGAAGAGAACTGTAAGCAAGTTCTAAAGTAACTTTGTAAACAATTTCGGGGAAACGTAACAGAGTAATTGTTAATGCACAAGAACATCGAGTTATTACAGTTTTCACTTAGAAAGTTTTCAAGTATAGCAAATGTCTCCTACTGAAACGGCGAGAGCTGAACCCTCTTCTCCTCCAAGCTTGCAACATTACTTCAGGGTGAAGAATCCTTTTTACCCTCTGCGTGAAAGCAGAGAGGGAGAGGGCCAAGTGCATCAAGAGTTGCCAAACTCCACAAATCACCTGTACATTCTATCCTTCAAGCTTTTATCCGAGTTTACAGAAAGAGCATAAAAAATAAAGCTCTTTGAATGGAAAACCTTAGAAGAGTGACCAATAACCCCGTTTCTTTCAGACATAATACACGGTAAAGTAAGATAACACCCATCACATAGAAGGAAAAGGATAAAGAAACCCATGTTTCCCTTCAATGAAGCAAAAGAAAGAAGTGAGACAAAGAAAAGAAACAGGGAAGGATGGTGGGAGAAATGGGGGTGAGGTGGGGTGGGGGTGAGGGTGGAGGTGGGAAGAGTTATTAGGACGAAGAGGAACCTTAGGCCTTAAAAAGACCCCTAACATATATGCATACTCTTGCTCCAGCCTTCTATGTTCTCCTGGACTGATGCTGAAGCAGAACATGTTCTGGCAAAAAGAAGCCAGAAAGTAACCTTGAGACCTACAGATGTACAACTGCACTAGCTATTATGAAATCTTACCATCTCAGCTAACAGCTTACAGATTCGGGATCTATATGTCCACTGCTTCCACCATGAGAACTGAATCCAGTAACAGGCATAGACCGCTGAGCGAAATTCAACAACAGCTTCTTTTGGTGGTCATTTGTATGTGGAAGACTAGCACGTAAAAGTTCCACAGGCATTTCTCTGCTTACCGCTCTTGCAGCCTCTGCACCAATAATTTCAGCATCCGGCTGGGATTGTGCTAGAATCGATTGCATGATACTGTCATACTTGCTCAGACAATACTTTGTAAGTAAACCAAAAAAGGCATCAAAAGATGCCTGCCAAAGGGCAGGATTAGGCATGCTGAAACTGCTAGCAGCCTTAGAATCAGTTAATAGATGAGTGGCCCCTTCAAGAACAGATTTTAAAATAATAGAAGCTCCATCTCCAGCAGGGCTTCCAAGAGGGCGAAGAGGTGGTTGTTCTGAGGAACACACAACAGCAGCAAGACAAGCACTCAGTGAATTAAGGTCCATGAGAGTGACACATTTAGAGACTACTTTTGCAAGATCAGTGATGGTTTCAGCTGCTCCAACATCAGGTGGATGACCGCCAAACAAAAACCTCAAATGGCGGAAAATTGCCATACAAACTATTCTGACAAGCTCATTGCCAGGCAGAAGAAGCTGAAGATACCTTGACATGAGATTCCGGCCCTTGGGAAGAGACACCAACCATAGAAATACAATGTCATCTTTAGGAGTAAGCCCGACAGAACTTCCACCTTTACCAAGCGGATCAACTAGTTGAAGTGAGGCGGCCATGCCTTCCAGCAGGATCTGTCGCTTCCGCTTGAGCTGAGCACCACAGTCTTGGGGCTGACTAAACTGAAGGAGCCTGTCAATGTCATCTACCTCAGTGAGAAGATAGAAACCATCTTCTATTGTAATTCTAGCTGCCAGCATTGGCTCCTGTTCCAAGGGTCTCTCAGATATCTTCTGGTCAGCACTGCTGTCAATGCAAACAAAGCCTGGTGGATCAACTTCAAGAAGTGGACGAGGCCTGCGGATGGAAGAAAATGACACCCGCCCCTGAGCATCAACATGAAGATGAGGCTGTGATTCTGCACTATTACGTGACCGAGAAGACTGTTCCTTATTTGGACAAAAGCGATATTTTGACCTAGACTCAGCTGCTTTCTTTGCAAGGCGGGCCTGGTGATAGTAGTCATCTACATATGGATCATTGCCATGTGCTGCAGAATGCTGCATTTTCAGGATGCTCTCTATTTCATCACCAGTCATATACTTAGATCGGAACTGTGGCACATTACTTTCACTTTTGTGGCAAGCAGCATCAGAGCCTTGTTTAGAAAAACGCACATTTTGTCTAACCTTCTGTGATGGCTTAGATCGTGAATCTCTGAAATCTGCCAATCCATACTTACCTAGATGAGATGGTGAAGGGAAGGAATTATACAATTGGGATCTTAGCGCTGAAAAATGAGCTAAAGAAGGCTGAACTGAAAGATGAAGTCTCTGCTGTTGGAGCTGCTGTGGGGACAGTAACTGGGGAGATAGTAAGCTGTTTTGATGAGGAAATTGATGCTGCAAGACACTATCTAAGAGACCAGAATGGTCCCCATGGATGAGTCCTGCATGACTGCTCCACTGGTTTTGCAACCTAGAATTATGAGAAAGACCAGTAGGGTTCAAATGTTGGATGTTTCCACTACCATAGTGAAGCCCATGAGCCAAGCCTGTCAAATGCAGATTAGAGTTCGGCAACGAAGAGAGATTCAGAGAAGAATAGGGGGACTGAGGTCCAGCAGAAAGAGATGACATGTTTTGTCGCGAAAGGCTATGTGGTGAGGGTTGAGATCTACCACCAGGAGGAAAAGAAGTATAAGATGATTTCGGTAGTAAAATGGGTTCACTAGAGTAGTGCTGAAGTTGTTGAGGTTGTGGGGGTTGCTCGGGGTATGAGGATGTTCTATACAATGGTTTTGACTCTGCAAGCACTGCAGAGATATGTGGCTGTGAAGACCATTTTTTGCTTTCCTGGTAACATTCAGTGTCAGATAAATGCTGATCAAACCAATCATGAAAGTCTGCTTCTTTCGCCCAATCAGCTGCAGATGAACCTGCAAATACCAAGTATATATTAGTAGTTATTTTCAACATGCCATTTCATCCTAACTAGAGCATGTCATTAAGAGCAAAATAAAAATGTTAGGATCAAAGAATTTTCAAATACAGAAACATGTAAATCTTCATTACTAGCCAAAAAAGATAAATGTCATGTGAAATGGAACGGAGGGAGAATATTTGAGTCCAACATAATATATCAACATAAAGGCAAATAAAAGAAACTCACATTCATGTTTGTCAAATTGAACTAATTCAGAGAGGACTCCAATGAAAATTAGACATTAAACTTCTACTCTCCTAAAACTAATAATTCATGTAACATGGACCCTTTTTTGGCGTGAACATGTCTGTTCCCCTAAAGACATCTCTAAAAGCACATCTTGTGTAACATAGTAATAATACTGCAACATGAGATTGAGAACTGGTAACCAACAATCCAGATGACATTTTATTGAAAGAATGTGTTCACCTCATAGATACAGAATATCGCATAAGTAAGTAATCAACAAACTAAGTGTGCCTAAAAGGAGGCACGAGATGGAACGAGGGTACAAAAGTGTGCCACACGAAAACATGCTCGTCAAACCAATATAGGGGCAGATCCAGCAAGTGGCAGGAGATGCGAAAAGGAAAACACGTGCTAAAAACAGAAAAATTACAACAGGGAAAAACTTCTGATAAGTTGATCTCATTTCAACAAACAACAAAATAGATATGGCTAAAACCTATGTACTTAAAATACTCTACATGTCACCATATAAGAAAACCACCTTTCTGTTTTATTTCTGTGTGTTGTGTGATGTAACCTTTTATGACTATTTTTTAAGAGGGGTGGGGGGTTGTCCTAAGCTTATAAATCATTTCATGAAGTTCATTATCCAAAAATAAAAAATCATTCCATGAAGTTTCTCAAGCTCCCCACTCTAGCAGCCCAAGGCCACATGCCAGGATAGATTTCCATCACAAATCATCCAGAAAGGTGAAGTTTTATTGAAGTATTACTACCACGGGGCCAAATCATTTTTTAATGGTAGTAGCAAGGAAAAAGGATCGCTGATTTTCAGAACCAAAAAAAAAAAGGCCAAGACTGATTAAGGCATCTACCATGCACATATAGATAGTCAGTCTCCCAAAGGGAGGACCATTGCTGACCTTAATAATCAAGCACGAAGATGAAACAGATCATCTACAAGGCTATAACTTATTCCTACCAAGGTCTGAGATCAAGTCCCTTCATATGATGTCTGAAAGATCAAAATATCAAGGATTATTGCCACAACTGTCTGAATTTTAAGGTGCCTACATATGATATCACAGATATTCACAAATCTGGGACTAGTGGCACAAATGTGCATGGGCGGATAAAACAATGAAGGGGCATCATTTCAATCTTAAAGTAGCCTCAAGCAAGTTAACAAGTAAGGTATATTTCAGACAATACAGGAACTAGTCCAGGAGATTTATCAAATATTCAAGAAAAAACATCACGGAAGGACAAAAAATTAATCAATATGTGCACTTACTTTCCCTTGAAAAAGAGCCTGATCCACGGTCACCAATAACACCAGGATGCCTTGGTCCAGTGACATTTCTGTTCAACTGGAGAAAAGGAAAGAAAAGCATTCAGATTGATCTAGTACAAGTAGATATCCACAGCTCTATAGAGGATGTAAAAAGTCAAGCATGGTTTAGTGCTTTAGATGTTTTTACTCAACAATAGTACGAAATAAAGTTCAAGACATACTGTGTCTCACAGAAAAATACGGGAAAAAGAAAAAGACTCGTGCTAATTGGAAGGTACACGAATAGTAAGTCCAAGTCAAATGGCTCAGAACATCAGGTAATAAAGATGTTGCATCAGCTGACCTTTGAAAATGTCGTTGCTAGATCATCTATGTCCGATAATGAGCCCACCACAGATCCCTGGAAATAAAGCACTGAATTAGAGGCACTAAATAGCAAATAGTGCCAAAGCCAGCAACTTATCGAGGTAATCAGCAAATATAGCATACTTACAACATCGGGGAAAAGTCCACAACAAAAAATGCTTGAAGATCACTCATAGAATAAATGCAAGAAACTTTAAGGGCTCGTTGGTGTGAGCTATTAAAAAAATAGTGATGGAATAAGGAAATAGTGAAGGGATAAAAAAAATTATCTTGTTTGGTTGCCATGTTTGGGATAACTTATCCCACCATTTATATCATAGTGATGGAATAAGTTATCCCACATACATGGTGGGATAAGTTATCCCAGGATAACTTATGCTGGGATAACTTGTTTCCAACCAAATGACCCCTAAAGGTTACCAGCCGTGACAAACCATTTATACAGAATAACAGAAAGTGGAGCACATAGTTTTGAAGAGAGAAAGCTAATGTCTAAGGTCTATTTGATGGTGCTGAGATTCACAAATTCTCGAGTCTCCACAAATTTTAACATTTTATTCAAGGACAGTACTTAACAAAGGAATAAATCACTGAAGAAGCCTCGCATCTTTTTCATGAATAGGCCATACACTCTCGTGGCAGCTATAGCATTTTGAAGATTACTCATAATAAGGGATCACATCTTAAGTTAAATTAGATCATTGCCTGGATAACACCATTGTCAAAATCCCAGTGACCACTTAGACTTATGGTGAGCTGCAGAACCGAGGCAGTCTCATCGTTGTAGAGTAGAGGGGGAGGCGGGGGGGGGGGGATGACTTTTAAAATTAGAAAAGGGGGAGCATTTTAGGGTACTAAGGTGAGAAAGCAAGAAAAGAACGGATCAAAGTGCAGCAGAACTATAAAACATCCTTTCTATTTGATGACTCTGTTGCAAAAAAAATACTCTAGGTCATTTCGTATAAGACTGAAACTATAGTGCTGACTAGACACACGTGAACTGAAAACAAGGATCAATAGTAAAACGCTTAGCAAAACCTAGATCATTTGAATAAATATGTCTCAAATGCACAATAACTTTTAACGAATTTCCCCAAATTCATGGCCTACGGCATGAAAATAATCTCCATATGTTATGATGGATTTCCCCACTTATTGTGAGTTAAACAGGTCCTCATTCGTTCAGTCGCAACAAGAGATCATGTTGATTACAACCCTGTTAACGAAATTCCAAGCCTCAGCACTATTTTATGTCAGGTCCACAGGAAGGATAAGCAGATTATACCTCGTCTTTCTCAAATAAATGATACTCCTGTATCTCGTCATCACCTAATCCACCTCCAACACCCAGATCACTATTGTCTTGTCCGTCCTCTAAACCACCCAATTCAACTTCCTCCGCTATATCTCGCCCAAAAAATGCATATTGTGATGCATCAAAGAGGGCACCATCTGCATCAAAGCCCAAATAAGCAGTCAAGTCTAACACATACTTTACACAGTTAAAACATTCAAATCTTGATATTCTTTTCCCATACTAATGACAACATGTAGAACAAGGAAAATTAAAAAAAATAGAATGTAAAGTAAGGTATTGAGAAGAGCAACAGCAAGTACTGCTACAACCAGTGTTTATCGAAAGCAAAATAGCTCTAACGTCCATTGGGACTTTAAGCGCAAATAAAGCATGCGCCTCAATGAAAAATGGAGCAAAGGGAGGAAAGAAAAAACAAATAAATATGTATAGTCCAAGACTAAGGGCCCGTTTGGATGGGCTTAATAAAAGCAGCTTTAAAAAAGTAATTTTAAAAGTGCTGAAACTTATTTTTAAAATAAGTAGTTATGCGTTTGGATAAAAGTGCTGAAGTTGTTATGTCAAACATGAAAAGGGAAAAATGGAAGAAAGAAATGTTAGAGTTACATGGGTAATTTGGAAATTGTGTAAAAATATTAAGAGCAAAAAGATAAAAATGTGGTCAACTTAAAACAGCTTATAAGCTAAAAAAAACACCCCTACCCCAGCTTTTAACTTTTGATTTTATTTTTAACTTAAAATAAGTTATTTTGAGTATTGCCAAACACCTAAATAAGTCAAAAACCAGCTTTTAAGTCAGTTTGACCAGCTTTTAAGCTGAGCCAAACAGGCTCTAATAATTATAAGCATGGCTGACATAATATACACAAACAAAGAAACTAAAAAAAAATTACAATAAAGTGATAAATCAATTATTTATTGTCGCCTTTTCCGACTGAAATGGCTCATTGGAAAGGGACAGAGTGCCTTAGAACCTTGATAAGACACTAAAGAGCACATTAATCCAGGCAAAATGCTCAACAAGTTTTGAGCTTCGCTCGAGGGCTTACCTTTGACAATAGTGCCTATAACTCACTGCCAAACTAGTAAGGATACAATTACATGAATTTCTTAAATCTCATTCCACTGAATGAAAGCACATTTGAACTCCCGAACCTCCATTCCCAACCCCAACCCCAACGTCCACCACCAAAAAAAAACATACAAATTGTTACACCTCAATCCTAAACTACTAGGGTCAGCCACATAACGGCCTGTCATCCATTTGATCCCAATAGTGATAACTAAAGTAAAACAACGAATCAAACCAAATTTTAAAGCAACAAAACAGAAAGTGAAATCCTCACATCTCAATCTCCAACTAGTTCAGGTCAGCTATATAAATCCACCCTAACTAGCTTCATTTGAACCCATTCCATCCGAACACTCGTAATTAAATTGCATCACATCAGAGCAAATTTTACCCACACCACACCACAACCCAAAAAAAGAAAAAAAAAACGATCTGAAGATTCAAGAACGAACAAAAAAAAAAAACAGTGAGCTACGCTACCTGAGATGGAGCCAGAGGAGCTAGTCAAGTCTTTGAAATCTCTGCTATTGGATCTCTCCATAGCACCAACTTCTAACAACCAATTTTTTCTTAGAAAATTGGGGATCCCGCGAAATATAACCCCATATGTACACCGACAAAAAAAGGAGAAAGGGATAAAATTGCACCGAATCAAAGTCCTCTTTTCCTTAAAAACCTGAGATTTCTAGGGTTTTCAAAGAAAGAGACGAAAAGGAGAAGGAGACATAGCGTATTACATAGTCTACGTGTTTGTGTTGGTGTGTGGGGTGGGGAAGTGATGGATAGATATATGAAAAGGGAATAGAATGGTACTAGTGTTTTTGTTTTATTTTCTTGAAAGTGAGATTGCAAAGTTGGGGGGGGGGGGGGGGGGGGTTAATTATTTTGATTTGTTTAATCATAATCCTATAATATATGGTGTGCATTATATTAGAGTTATGATGAGTGTGGTAGGTCAATTGCACAAACCTTTGCTTCCAAGTTTTATTATTTATTCGGAATGATTTGATCGGATGTATAAGAAAAATAACAAATATGGCATATTTTTGATTTATTTTTACTTGTCACTTATTTCAAAATAAGAAATACATCTCATTGTGAAAATGGTTTATATATATTATTACCGTTGTACAAATAGTTCGCATATATGTCATTCATCTAACGTAAGTGAAAAAGTTTTAAATTATTTGTATTATTTTAAATTTTTGTAAAGAAAACAAGTATGTATATGATCCTTTTAACAAAGTTCAATGTATATTTTAATCTTTTTCATACAAAAAGTTTTTTGTGACTTCTTTGATTATCATTATTCGAGTTTCTTCTTCATTTTTTTCTTTCATTCTTTAGTGTAAAGAAAGAATTTAAAACTAATATTTTTGGGCTATATTTAATTTATTTTTTGTATTTGAAAAAATAATCGGGCATGTATAATAAATTTTACAAGAAAATTAATGAAACATAAATAAATTTGACCATCGAAATAATAAATATAAGGTTGAAACAAAAAAGTTTTAAAAAATTACATGTGAGTAGGATCAAACATAATCCATATGGATTATATTTTTGTAAAAAAAATAATTAAAAAATTTAAATTTAAATTATTTTTTCCACTTCCATTAGAGAAATGTGAGTCATTTGTATAACAGGAGGGGTATATATGAATCACTTTCATAACGAAGGGTATATCACCTCTAAATGATAAAGTTAAGGGATATATAAATTTTTATTTTTACTTGTCCCTTTTGACATATCGAGAAAATACAATATTGTTTTTCAATGTTTTACCCTCACATTAAACATTTATTTTCCAAATCATTTTTCAAGACAACATTTAATAAGGAATAGTTTGCTAAAATACCTATATCAACAATTATTTTCTCAATAGATGTGTCAAGTCAAACTGTAAGAAGAAAAAGTGAACGAAACAAGTGTATTAATATTGGTTGTATTACACCTTGTTTGGATGATTGTTACTCATTTTATCGTATTGTATTGTTATTTAAATGCAATGTTTGTTTTGATTGTCAATTACATTCAATTGTATCATATCGTTTAAATTAATGGTTAGCTAACCGATGAAAAGACTAATTTTATGTAATGACAAATTTTTATATAACGATATTTTTTGGCAAAGTGTAAAAGTAATGTTAAATAGAGTATATTAGTAATGCTTGCATTAGTAATAAGGATGACAATGGGGCGGAGCAGGATGGATTTAAAGTTTTGTCTGTCACATCCAAGGAGCACCCCCTGGAAATAACCGGTGTCGTCATCCTCAAAGAGGACTAAGAAATTTTTTATCCACTTCTACATTGAGGTTTACATTGACCTCTCGCTTAAACATAATATATCTACATAGGGAGTTTATATAGATGTTTCGCATAAGAAGCATTACATAGGCTTCTACTTTTTTTTTTCATATACATAATATAGCAATATAATATCATACAAAGTCTAGGATAAGTCTCATATTTAAACCATCTAAATCGAATACAACGTTTGGGCATAGCCCTTACTTTACTTTAATAAAAGCCATATATAGGCATATACAACAATTGTCTTCAAATGAAAAAGAAAGAACTAAATGTCTTTAAACTAGAACAACATCAATAGCTATATAATGGCATCGTTATCGGAAGGTGCGGACCTACCAAAATTGCAGAATGAGGATCCAAGTTATCTTCAAATGTCCCTTCTAGAAGCTCAACGGCCGAAACCTACATAATTATAGAAACATAGAAATATGGGTTAGTACACACTTGTACTAAGTATGGGAATATGCACATGAAACATTTGAAAGAATACATGAGAAAGGGGACATTTGTTCAAAACCGTGCTAAGTTTCTTTGAAAAGCCTTATGCACAACTAAGAACCTATTTAAGCCAATAATCACATATTTCTTAAGACAAATATACGACACAAGACCAACATCATCAAGTATAACTAAGTCAACATGTATCATAGCATATTTGAGTACATAACCAAACCAACTCCAACATCAAGATATACAACCAAGCATGTATAAGAGTTCATAACATTATAACATATATAAGACCCTTACTCATAATCCAACATCAAGTCCACAAGTGAAATGACCAAGTAAAGCCTCATAATCTTACTCAACCAAGCAAACTAAATAAATGATGACAAGTAGTGTCTAATTTCATATAACATAGCACCATGCATAGCAATATAGACCAATAGAATGTTCATACACGAAACTAACATAGTATAGGATCATCAACATGTAAAATCAACATATACATAATAATTACTTTATAAAACATAAGAACAACCTTCCAACACTTCCCTCAAGGACAACTAGTGCAATGTATAGGTGGAGTCCCTACCCTTACCTAGACTAAGTCAAACCCCTCAGGTCACCCTAGTTAGTGTTTAGTTTATTACTTCATTTTACTTTCGGGAACACTTTCCTTGACCAACATAGACCACAAGAGCTAAATGTGAATCTAGTGTCATGGAACCCTACACCGAAAAAGGGTGGACTACTTGCCAAAGTAGTACAAAAACATGAACAAAGCATTATAGGTGGATCCACTAGATAGTATTCCTATGGGCGCAACATAGTTCAAGAACTAGAAAATATACTTGGGACCCTCTTTATGCACATTGAATTATAGTCTTCCATATAATGAGTATCATAGTGAACCTACCTTCCCACATTGGGAAGGGACACACCTCACATCTAGTTCACTCGGTGCTAAGCTAGAGTCCCTTTTTGAAATGTCTTTAAGTCTTTGTTAATCATCATAACTTAGTTTAGGCCATAGGAGACTAACCCCTTGTACATTCATATCATTATCTCATATTTAATTGCATGAGAATGTCCTTTTAATACAACCCTCATATGTGAGATCAACAAATTATCATCATCATGTCATAATAAGGCACATAGGCAATTCCTAACCAACCTTATATCATTAAAACTTAATATAATCTCACATCTTCACATAATCAAGACATTTAAATTGCATCATCATACCAACACCTAATTAATACAATCACAACATATACTTTAATTGAACCTCATCACCAAGTACAAACCATCATAATTGAAGTAAAGGTTTAAGATCACAAAGTCATGCCAATTGTCCTTCAAAAGTCATCATCATTGGTCTTACCCTCAACCAATACAATTTTATCATCAATAGGTGTAATAAAATCATTCAATAGTAATTAATACAATAACTAAGTCAATTACATCAATACTAATCAATTCAACATGAGTTCATAACCTAGGTATGCAAATTTGGGTCAATTCAATTTACTCCACCTACTAGGTTAATTCATCGAGAACTATCATAATTGATCAATAATACATCATTATCTAATAATAATAACCAAGATAAACCATAAAAAATCAATTTAAAAGATCAATTTCGGATTAAAAGAAAGTCATATGAAATCATCTTTTGGAAAGCCAATTCTAGAAGAACACTTTGGGGAAAGCAATCCCAAAGGTAAAAGGATCCCATACCTTTATAATTTTTGAAGATTGATGGTGAAAAGACTATTTCTTGATGCCCTAGAATCCTTAGACCTTTGTATTCTATGGAGTCTTCTTTGGGAGAGAGAAAGTATAGAGAAGGAAAAGCAATTCGGGTTTGGGAAAAGTGATGTTTTAAATGGGGTTTAGTCTAAGGATAGTTTATATAGTTGCTTAACTAATCTAATTAACCAACACTTAAACCATAATTACACCCCTAACTAAATATATTAATTAAATGAATCAATTAAAACTTAACAGGAAAAGTGTAGGCAGGACCTACGATACCACAATCGATGGTCCGTAGGTCAACCTATGCACCCTTCCTCCAACTGTTCTGCAAGTCCATCAATAAGTTCAAAAAGTTGCATTTTGGCCATTTTGGAAAAAATCTAAGTGCTGGTCGATGGAGGCAATCTAAGACCCGTCAATTGTCCTGCGCCTCGTTGCCTACTACTTGTAGGTATACACTGTCTACACTGCCTCATTTGGCAGGTTTGGGTCAAATGCAAGGGTCCTCTCCAAGGACCTCTAGGATGGTTTTTGGGGGAGTTATACCCATACATTTTGACCCTAAATATGTTCAAATACTAGTTAAACACCTTTCCACCAAATTTTATCAATTTCCAACTCTTAAAACCTTGTGAAATAGGCTAAGGCACACTAGCACCTCTTTGACTAGTCTCCGGACATCATGGATGTTTCCTGACGTCTTGACTCTAAAACTTTCTAAATGACTCATAAATATTTTTTTTTACCTTAAAACGGTGTTATGACTCTTAGAAACTCATGTGAGGCTCTAGATTTAGTCTTGAAGTTTCGAAGTGTTACAACGTCGGGCGGGTTTAAGGTTGTGCGGGGCGGGAGGGATGTAGGGCGAGTTGAAGTGGTTTCTAGAAAAACTAATACGGGGATGGACATGTTGTGGGTTGAATATATATATATATATATATATATGTATATATATATATATCTGTGTGTGTGTGTGTGTGTTTGTGTGTTCAAACTTGATTTTAATCTTATACATGTTATAAGAGTAATAGAACATTATTTATTAAGATAATTTTTGTAAAGGTACTAAAAATTCAAGATAGTAAATGAAAATGGTTCAATAAAAAAATAATATAATTTCTTACATGTTTCCTAATTAACCTCTAAAAAGTAAAATTATAACTCATTTCATATATATACTTGAAAGTCACAACCTTCTTAAAATTCACTCTTTAGAAAAGTCTGAACTCTTTATAAAAGTCATAACTTTTCATAACTCACAATTTTTCACAAAAGTTCCAA